TTTCTGCTACTTTTTAGCTTGTACCTATGTTTTTGCTACTTTTATCTTCTAGCTACCCTTTTGCTACTTTTAGCTAATATTTGGATGTTTTTCGTTTGCATTTTGCTGCTTTTAGATTTTAGTTAGATTTCTGCTACATTTAGCATTTGAATTCCTTTAGCTTGTACCTATGTTTTTGCTACTTTTATCTTCTAGCTACCCTTTTGCTACTTTTAGCTAAAATTTGGATGTTTTTTGTTTGCATTTTGCTGCTTTTAGATTTTAGTTAGATTTCTGCTACATTTAGCATTTGAATTCCTTTAGCTTGTACCTATGTTTTTGCTACTTTTAACTTAGAGCTGGAATTTTGCAGCTTTTAGCTGAACCTTAAATTTTAACTTTTAAAATAATTTTGCTACTTTGTGAGTTTTAGTTATCGTTTTGGCCCTGTTATCTTTAAGCCAGATTTTTTTGCTGTTTGTAGTGTCTAGCTTGCCATTTGTTACTTTTAGCTTTTATCCAGTTTTGCCGTTTTTAGTTTTTAGCTTGCTRTTTRCTACTTTTGGCTTTTAGCCAGAGTTTTGCACCTTTTATATTTTGGTTATTCTTCAGCTTCTTTTAGCTTTAACACTTTATTTCAGTGTTCAACCTGTATTTGCACAGACACATGCATTGCCTCTGGTTCTGGTCTGTGTTTTCGGCTGAGCCATGGACGCTGCAGGAATGAGGACATCTGTAAACGCTACCTTTATGTCCTGCAGGTAGATTTTGACGAGGCTGACTTTGTCAGATTCGGGCAGCAGCTCGACTCGTGTGATGCTGCTGAACTCTGTCAGAGTGGTCAGGATGCTCAGCTTGTGGTTGACCACCTGACTTATGCCGTAACGCCCTCCCACCAGCAGGGTCACCGTAGACTCCCGGTCCTGGAGCTGAGAAGGAGACGTCTTCATTAGAAACATACAGAACCTGCACTGGTAGGGATTAGGATTAGAGTTCAGCTGCTGTTGCTCAGATAAAAATCCCACCATCATGGTGGCAGAAAAGGATTTCCCTCCGAAACACTTGAGATCGCTCAGCTCCTCCAGATAGTTGATCCGTGCCTGATGGACCGACAGGCTCTTCTGTTTGGGATCAAGCAGCGACTGGCCCTTCTTCATGTGGTAGCTGATGGCCTTCTTCAGATCTTTGTCCCTCATGTTCCTCAATAAGGTGGAGGAAACAAAGTTCTCGATGCCCCAAGTCTTCCTGGGGCATTGAGAACACAGAATCAGCTCATCTTTATGAAAACTCAGTCGTTTTCTTTTTTTATCTTCGTCATTTTGTTTGTCTCAGAATAGTAGAAGCAGATTATTCTTATTGAAGTTTAACAGATTATGAAACATGAAATGCTCAGAGCAGAAGCACCTTCTGTGAGAACTGTTCGTCCTTTAACATCCCAACTCGTCTCACCGTCTCTATCTTTGCTTTTCAAATCAATTTAGTCCTGAATGCTAACGTCAGGGTTTCTCACTGAACTAAAGCTTGAATGATGCTCTTCACTGGATAAAAGCTTCTGCTAAATGAGTGGATGTAACGTAGAGTAGCCTCGGGCATCACTCTTATCAGATCATTTGTTTTATTCTAACAGAGTCAATAAAAACATCAGATGAATATAATATAATACAGTTATTCTGATGTGCTCTGTGTGGAGAAACACTAAATACTGCTCTAATTTAATGATTTATTTTGTGTTTATTTGTATAAAACCCCTCTTTTTACAGTTTCCACGTGAATTTGGAGTTTTGAATGAAAACGTGTCTCACGTGATGGTCTTCAGGTTGGCTTTGGGGGACAGTCCGCAGCTCACCAGTCTCTCCTGAATGTGCAGCGCGGCCAGCCTCAAAGCCGTGTTGCACCTCATCTCTACGGCGTAGCGCTCCTGCAGCACRTCATTCACCCCCTAACAGACACGGCATGAGATTAAAAGTGAAAAAAAAAACCCCATAAATTATTTAAAAATCTGTCATTATTTGCTTCAAACTGCAGTTTTACCTGCAGGTAGAGGTACTCAAAAGTGGTGGGATCGTCCTCCAGCAGTGTCCGGAGGTTTTTGGGCAGAAAACAAACTCGGAACAAACACCTGTAGTCGTGAACCTCCTTCTTCTGGACAACCTGAGGACACATGCTTACATGTTATATCTAGGTAACAGCAGTTAAAAGGTGGCGTTTTATGAGTACCTGCTGTATCCTCTCATCGTCGTGCAACAGCAGGAGTTTGCTGCTGCTGTGCTGCTGCTCTAGAACCAGGGAGAAATGCTCGATCCGAGTCAGAGAAAGCTTTTCCTTCAGCGTCATCACGATATCCTGACGCAGAGAGAAAGGGACAGTTTCAGCTGGAAGAAGAAGAAGAAGAAGAAGAAGAAGAAGAAAAAGAACTGTGATGAACAGATGTTAGAAAATACCTTGACTGTGGTGCTGGGCTCAAATTTAAAGGCCTTGGTCTGACCGTTCTCCAGATACACCTTCAGGACGTTTGGCAGGAAGAGCAGCGAGTTCCCCTGAGGATGAAGCAGCAGAGCGTTTAAATGTTGATCAGAGAAAACAGGACAGATTCTGTTTATTTTCAGCTCTTCATCTCATCCTCTGACTGGTCCCTCCTCATCCTTATTTTATTATTTAAAGAAGGTGGTTTTCTGTATTGACCCTGAATGTTTTGAAGTTCAGTCTTAGTGAAGCTCTCCAGCATTTGGTTTTCCAGAACACAACCCCACCTCCTATCTCTGGTGTCCTTTGCATCTCCATTTTTCTCTCTCCATAATCTGATGTTTATTGTCCTGTAATCACAGACATTAAGGCTGGAGAACGACACAGATATCGATCCGTGTTCTCTCCGTCTTTAGTAATGGGCACTCCAGCCTCTGTGGTTTCCTCGTTCAGCTGGTATCACATCCAGAGGCAGGAGGGGACGTCCGACCAATCAGAGCGCGAGACATCACCGACCGTTATAAATCAGCACAGCTTAGTTTGAACATCTAAAACAACAACAATTCTATTCAAATTGTTAAAAACATTTCTCTTGATTTTAGGACYAAATTATTTGTTTTCATGAGATTTGATGTGATTTTATGTGACATTTATTAATGCTGAGATTTTCTCACACATTGTGTTTAAAATATTCCCTCACATAATAAACCATATGGGATAGGGAACAGATCAGTGAATTTCCATTTTTTTAACATTCCTTGAACACTTTAGCCACAAAGAAGGCCTTAGAGTTACTCTGCTGTCAGTTCAAGCTGCAAAGCTTTATGGTCCATTTCTTCTGTACTTAAGATGCTATAGAAATGGAAAAATGCGGTTAAAATTTCAACCATAAGAACAACTWACTATCAAATAGTCTAAATAAAACACATTCAAGCTAACCTTTAAAAACTAATGAATAATCCAAAACTTCATCAGCTGTTTGGCCCCAAATGTTACAAAAAGCATCTCAGATGAAACGATTGGAAGTACGAGCTGTTTTTCAGCTACTTTTTAACTTTTAACTATTGTAATAGAAATAATACTTTTATGTTTAAGCAGGTGATTCATGACATCCTTTAATGACCTAGATTTTCATGACATGCTGTTCATCTGCAGACAGAATGATTAAAGTTGGAGCAGGATTTGCTGGCAACAGTCATTCTTGGATATCACTTGTGTTTATCTTTGTGTTTTCCATTGACCTTGTATCAAATCTCGTTAAGATGACAGAATGGTGTTTGTTAATATATATATGAGGCCTCTCAACAGTGTTCAACAGTAGTGTGGACTGACAGAGAGAAGCAGAGGCACAGAGACAGGCCAGGTTGTCTGTGT